AGAGCGGAAGCTGAAGGAGATCAGAGTCCTCGAACCTCTGGCGAACAGTGACCACTGCTCCAATGTGGCAAGCACAGAGCTGCCGTTTCGAGGTTACAACCAACGGAAGCCGACATGTAACAGTTGGAAGACGGACTTCAACGGGCTCGTTCAAGCCGCAAGTTAGACTGATTGGACACTACCAAAGGATGCGTCGCTTGAGACCTGTTGGTCATTAATGGAGGGGAAGTTTAACTCCCTGTGTACTCGGTTCGTTCCCCTTAAGTATTCAAAAATCGGACCTGTCAAACTGCATTGGTTTGATACGGAATAAAGACAGCGCGACGGCGTCGCAAACTTTGGGATAGATAAATCAGCTCGGGTTGTGATGAAGATTACACGGTATACAAGAAACACCGCCGCAAAGATCAAGAAGCGCCGGTAGTTCAAAGAGGAGCCAGTATCCTCGGCCACCACTGAACCCAGAAGAATATTTGCCTACTTGAAACGTCAACTGAAACCTTGGGGCAACCTGCCAGTCATAGAGAGCTTGGACGGACAGACACTCATTTCAAACGCGGAACGCACGGACACCTTGGCTACGCATTTCCTCACCGTATTTTCCAGTTGACCGGCGGCTGTTTTAGTACCGGGACAGGTTGAGCCAGTCTTACTCGACAGTCTACAATGTGATGCAGACGAAGTGTATCAGCTATTCGTCAAACTCGACAGTACAAAGCCCCCGGACCAGACAGACCACACCCACTAATACTTAAGTCCCTATGGATTATCGTCTCACCAACCGTGACAAAAGTATTCAATAAATCACTCTCTGAAGGATCTGTCCCCAATGACTGGAAATGCTCGATGGTGAGACTGCATCCCAAGGGTGGTGATCCGAGTAAAATGGAGAACTATAGACTGATCTGTTTGACTTCGATATTATCCAAAGTTCTCGAAAAGATTGTGAAAAAGTGTCTGCTCACGTTCTTCGAATCGATGGACGTATTGAGGCCAGCGCAACACGGCTTTATGAAAGGGTGATGCTGCATCACCAATTTGATGTACGCACACCATCACTGGGTACGAGCTCTCAACGAACGGAAAGATGTTGACGTGGTGTACATCGACTTTAGTGAGGCGTTTGACAGTGAACCACGAGGTACTCCTTCATAAACTGAGGACCTACGGAATCGGTGGCACGCTGCTACATTGGTTACACGAGTTTATTGAGGGACGAAATTTCAGAGTACAGGTCAATGACTACCTGGCAGACTGGTTCCCATCGACTAGTGGCGTGCATCAGGGAACTGTACTTGGGCCAGTAGTATTTCTTATTCATATCAGCGATCTTCAGCAGCAGCTCCAGTCACCATGTGCTTTGTTTGAAGATGATTTGAATATATGGAGGATTAATGAGAACCAGGACGACTGCGCTAGCCTCCAGCATGGCTTAGAGCGATTGTCAACGTGGTCCACTGAAATGCAACTCACGCTTAACGCCAGCAAGTTGGAGTGCAGTATCTCCAGACGTCCAGCCACTCGATCATACACCTTGGACGGCCAGTTGCTCCATCCTAACACATCTGACAGAGACTGGAGAGTGCTCTCGCGACATGATATGAAATAACTAGAACACACAGAGCAGTCGTACCGTGTGGGACTTCGTATGCTCTGGGCATTACGACGCAGTTTCTCCACATGTTCCGAAGAAACCGTCCGTCGCCTATTCATCTCGCTCATAAGACCAATCCTTGAATACGGTGCCCCGGCTTACCATCCGATAAGCCAGTGGGAAACTGAAGAACTAGAGAAAATACAACATATCGCAACTAGAATGATACCGAGTCTACGTAAGCTTCTGTAGGAAAAACATTGTGAATGTCTCGGGCTCTACACACTAGCCTACCGCAGAGTAAGAATTGATGTTAGTATGACCCATCGAGTACTACACTTGAATCACTTCCCCATACTGCGGTCAATATTTCACCTGCGGGAACCCTGTCACACCCGAGGACACCGTTACAAACTCAGGGTCCCAAGCATGAACAAGGTATCAGATCAGCTTCGTATAGAACGGGAAATCGTCAACTTATGGAATACACTGCCAGAAGGATTAATAGAGGCCGATTCTGTGAAATGTTTTAAAACATGTATCGACGGTTATTTCGTAGACCTGTACTTTTGTGAAACGGTGCACATACAATGCCAAAAGAAGACATCGTATACCCGGAAATAATGACACCAGTAGGAATTCCTAGCCAACAAGGATAAACGATTAACTGACAAAATACTACCGCTGACGATTCGCAATTAAATGTTGTTGATTTTTCAGAATTCGATAGAGTTGTATAGAAACCTTTCTACTTGTTCTTAAATACAGTATCAGTATCGGTATCCGTATCGCAACGCTCCGAATACAAAAGCCCCTGGTGGGAAATCCCCATAGAAGTACTGTTTGGAAGAAAGACCTGGACGTTGTTCGATAATCTTTTAGCAAGGAGAATAGAAAAGCACGGTAGCAGTCACCTGGAGGAAGATCACCAAGTCAGACTCAGTAACTTCAATGTTGGTGACATGGTTTACGCCCGGGATTTTCGAAGGCCGAAAGGGTGGTCGAGCGGAACTGTTATCGTCAGGAAAGGCAGAGTTATTTACGAGCTGATGGTTGGACGTGAGAGGTGGATTAGACATATCAATCAGTTGAGACCGAACCATGGCAAAACCCAAGGTCCCCACGAACCACCAGCTTTTCATTGGGACATTCTAGTAGATAATTTCGGGCTGGAACTTGAGGGTCGGCAACCCAGTGAGACAAAACAAATGCTGCAAACATCAGATGCACAATGTAGGCCGGTTCGGAAGCGGAGAAGACCACAATGGCTGCAAATCGATCCTCGGGCGAGAAGCTACGAACACTATCAAGTTCGAAGAGTTTGCAAGCTGACTCAATTCGGAAAGGGTGGTGACAGCTGGGCGAGAAAGCTGATTACCAACGCGTGCGTGTTCACCACAAATCGTGCTTGTGACAGACCCTGCGAGCGTGTTGCCAGGGCCAAGCCGAAAGCTGACGAAAGCACGAATCAGACAGCATGCGTGTTGCCAGGGTCTGACCGGAAGCTGATGAAATCGCGCTTCAAACATCACGTGCGTTGCCATGCCCGGGGTAGGCGGATGAAGACTGGCGTGCCCGAGCAAGACGGTGCACTGGCCAGACGGAGCGGACAATCAAGTGTGGAGCGTGGACTTACAGCCAAATCCGCCAGGCGATGTTTAGAGGATTGATGAGACCGACACATTAATATGAGCGTCCTCGGTCCTAATACAACTCTGGTCGGCTGAGTCTTCTTCTGTCCTCCTTCCTGTCGGTTTTGCCAAGGCGTCAAACAGAGCAGACGTAAAGGCGCAGATGTAGCAGCAGGCGTGAATCAACCGGTCGACTGCGGGTACAGCGTTATAACCGTAAGTCGTAGAATATAGCTAATGAAGCGTAATACCAATGTACGAAAATAAGAAATTTACCTTCATAACAAGAATCGCACCAGGGTAGGACTGACAAATCCTTGCAGCTAGCCACCATCTGCTCGTGTGGGTTACGTTGTTTGTGGTGCGCAAGGTACGGTAGACGAAATGTATATCCAGCGACCCTCTCATGTTGGTCTGGGTTTCATGATATATCAACGCCCCACCCGCCAGTTGTGAGCAATCAGACCTAACAGTTCATTATTTATATGTATAAGTGTTAGCGGCATATCTCCAAATGAGTGTGATTCCTGTCTGTTGCACTGTCACCGCAAGAAAATGCTGTGCGCAGTTGCGACAACCCATGGTTCATTTGGGTGAGGTACTCTGGAACAGCATCAGTGCGGTCCACTCTAAGACATCGGTTTTCGAATAATTTGCACCGTTATTAAAGCGTAATAGTTCAGGATCTCCGAAGTATGTGTTAGATATCGAAGACACCCGATGTTTTGTGGTGCTGACTGATCCCCGATGCGTATTTAAGGTTGAGACCGTATGTGACTCAAAACGCTGTGGTCTAACTGAGTTCCAGCGGTGGAATTTGAGACCTAGTAACAGTGCTAATTTGTGAAAGTCACCTAGTTAGGTAGGGGCGTGGTCCGAGGAACAGTGGCACATGACTGAGAGCTGTATGTGTATCAACTTAGATAAAGTTATTTGTGCTCATTGCATACCCTGCTCTGGGCTCGTCCTCCGTACTCATTTGCCGAGACATTACGGCATGTTGACTTCCGTAAACGATTCACCACGGTCCATCTGTAGCCGTCTGAAGTGAGTGTAGGCTAATCACTACCATGCGGAGCGAGACTGAAACTAGATGCAGCCGCTGAAAATGTGCGGTACCGGAACTCTTCGGGCCTCGACGCAAGCACGTCCTCAGAATTAATACATAGAGCTTTGCCACGCATTGTGCCCAATTCAATCAATGCATTGCAACCACGAAGGCAGGCTCTAAATGCTGTCATGTCATCAGGTCAACTTAGCACAGGCAAGCCACCTAACGGTTTTTCAATGAGTAGTGGCGTCCGACGGAGTTTGGGTAGGTTTTGTGCATGTTCGAAATGAGCCACGGGGACGCCAACAAGGGCGCCGTAGAAGGTCAATAATCTACTTAGAGCATAGCACAAATGCGAGTTGTTAGACGATTAACACATTGTCATGGAGTCGGCTACTATCACGGAAGGTGGTACCCCATCTGCTGATGTAACGTTTTCGACCCAAATACCTAGTTCGGCGAGCACATGAGCATTTGAACTTACTCAAAGTGTTGAAAATATGACTTGAAACGCTTGGATTCGAATCCCTCAACCTCGCGATGCTGTGTGGCTTTGTCGTCTAGAAAGGTATCCAATTCCACTGTCTTGTAGGCCGCTGTGCCGTATTCGTCCTAAGTAAGGGAGAAATGATTCAAAGTTCATCATAACGAAAGCATAAAATGGATAGGTTTAATGAAAACAATAGGGATAAATGACACTACGTGAGCATTTTCACTAGGTACCCAAAGAAACAGGGCTCCAGCTCTGCGTTCAAAGCCCGAATAGAGCCACAAGTTGCTCTGATGACTTTATCCACTCATGCAACGAATATCCCTTGTTATGTAAACAAATGTTGGTTTTTGGAGAAGTCTTTTTGAAAAATTCATTGTGAATAGATTGCCAACCGCAATCTCAATGTGGACGGCGATTCCCATTGGAGTGAACGTTGGACAATTCGATCACTGGAACAGTAACTGATGAAGTAGATGGATATTGGGTGCTGCACACGCCTCGCTTGGTTACGCCACGCGCTCAAGACTGTATATTTAGCATGCCATGTGTGTGGCGCGGTGTGTGACAAAGTGGCCAAATAAAGGGAGGAAATAAAATCCGTTCGCAAATCTGTTCAGTGTGACTCCAACGTTACATGCTGAGGGAGCAAACCGACGGATACATTCCACGCCCATTGAATTTAACGTCATTTCTTTTATGATAGGCAAAATATGGGATATGATCGCCATACACTGTGGTCACTATTTGTAAGTGACCTCCATTTCGGAGCAAAGATACAGTGAGAAGTCATACCATTAGAACTGCAGGACACGGTAGCTAGGGTTCGAACAATGATTTATGCAGATTGATTGAGTGAGCTCAGTGCACGCCGTCTACTGACACACCTGGCCAATCTGGAAAGCAAAAGTTTAAGGTAGGACAAATAGGCGATCTTTTCACATATGTGTCTGGCCTGAGCACAAGATTATTGCCATATGATTTCTGCTGGTTTCACAGAGAGAAAAGGGTGGATCAAATTCAGCTAGTTACGCGAAAGGATTGCTCACTGTTTACGGTGTCCCAAAATTGTGGTGTGAAAAAGACCATCCGCGATCTCAACTCATGGAAGTAAAATCGCAGTCGGTCTAGATATGTGCAGCAACTTAAGAGGAATGTGAAGCAATGAGTTCCCTACATCAACTTGAATAGCAAAATAAGAAGACGAATGTTGCAAGATGGTGCCATTTTGTGTTCTCTGTTTACTTGCAAACGGACAACATATCAAATGATAACGTGACAAAAAAGAAATCAATAAGTTGAAAGCGTGAGGTCACATGCAAGCGAAGGAAACCTTGGCTACACGTTGGGGAAGGGGGTTTGAGCGTAACGAACAGTTGCTTCTGGACGCACAATGTTGGAGAATGCTTTCGTATGGCCACTGCCTCGGCAAACTTGAGGACTCTGGCGTTTGTGTTACAATGGATGACACTAAACGCAGAGTTGGGGTTGATTCGCAAGCGAAGAGGCAGGTATGTTGTTCATCGACACAAGTCCCGTTTGTGGCCGCCTTGTCAAGGTTACGACACGCTTCGGAATGTACTCTCCAATCCGTTTACACAAGCAACGGTCTGTTCTGCCGATGTAACTGATTGAACAGTTACAAACAAATCGATAGATACAGTACGTTGTGGCGGAGACCGGCTTAGTTAGCTTGACTGGGAGCAGTGGTAGCTTATTCGTTGTCCACAGAAGGCAGAATTTAGAGACATCGAATGCAAGCCGTATTGCAGCTGCTGTGCATCGTTCTACCTGCCTAGCCAGAACATCCCCTTTGAAGGGTAATCGCAGATAAAGAGACATTTTTGGTAAAGTAAAAAGGACCGGCTGTTCACTTTCCACGGGGCGGCCATGAAACTTAATAAAAGCTTCTGGGTAGCCATTTGCCCGTAGGGTCTGCGTGATGAATTGCAATTCAGCCTCGATGCATTCCGTACTGCATATCCTGTGGCCAACAACGTTTTGACAAGGCATCGCTTGTAGTGAACCGGTGTAAAACTGCTGAAGTGTTCATACAACCTGGTCCATGTAGATTTCCGGTAGACTGTGCGTTGTATCGTGCCACCTCGCCTCGTCAGTAGTACATCCAGAGAAGGCAGGTGGTTATCATCCTCAACTTCATTGATGAAGCGGGCATTTGGGTGTGCAGCGTTCATAACTCTGAGAAGGGACTGAGCCGCCTCTAAGGATGGTGTATTCCCCAATATATCGTCCACATACCTGATGTAAAGGCACATTCGTCCGAGGTCTGGCTCACACCGCGAGTCGACCATCGCCTTGAAGATGTCCGCCAGCAGAGGGCAAAGGGGACTCCCCATAGCCACACCATCAACCTGTCGATATGCCTGGCCCTCGAACATAATCGATACGTTTTCAGTGCAGAGTAGCAACAAATCTTTGAGATACTCTACAGGAATCGGCAGGCACTTTCTCACTAGTGACAAAGTCACATAAGAAATCCATGGTTTCTCTCAGAGGAATGAAGTATATATCTCTCCCAGGGTACCTTCATAGACTTTGGCTTTCAATACAAGTCATTAAATATAACCAGTGATTAATCATGCCTTTCCTTCTGCGTGAATAGAACAGCATCCAGCCATTCTATCTGAATCGTCGTATCACAAGACTGTCATGACCTGACCTCAGGCAAAATCAATGATCCAAACAAGTGTTTCGCCTTCACATCACCTAGCACTAGACGAGCTCACTATATACTTGTAGCGCTGTACCGTACATTCATCAGTAACTAGATGAACCGATAGACATTGACAGGGAACTCAAATGAAAATATTTTTTCCATGGAACATTGAAGAGTAAGATATCATCTGGTGACTTCCTAGTGACGAAAAGTGAAAAAGTGTTGTAGCACAGTTTGGACACCGTATGCAGTGTGCGCTGTCATAGTACAAGCTTTGCTTAGGATGGTTCACTACCACGCAAGTGTCTGTGGCGATATGATATGATCTGGACTAAAGCCATATGATAACTGATGTCAGTGGACTTGCGATTTCTCCTCCACTGTGGCCTGAAAGGTCCAATGGATGCCTTGGTGCCCAACAAAAGGAAAAGAAGCAAACTGATTTGTAATCCATAATGGTGTACACGTACCTACCTCTCATTCTGGCTGAGCCAAGGGAGACAATACCGGGTGATATGTGCAAGAGACCTACGGGTGTTTCGGAGCCGACCCAGGCTATCATCAGGCAATCTCCACCTGGTAACCGCGTAGTAGAATGACAACTCATCGAGGCGGTGTGAACAGCTGACTCTTGGGATGCATTGCATTCCAAACAATCATCCTGGTGAATCGTGGGTCGATATGTTTTCCAATTGCGCACATAAGAATGCGCCCTCTGGGTGATGGAACCGCGCTTTGAGCCTAGTGCTGATAATCGATTGTGCTCTCCATCCCCCTCAGCAGTGACTAGGTTATCGAGACTGACGTCTCAACTGATAAACAATGAACGATAAACGGTGCTTGTAAAATCCCGTAGGATGATCGGAGTGATTAGGACATAGCTAGGAAAAAGTTTGTTTCGATTTTCTCAGTAATCGATTCACGTAGACATATATATGAGTTCTCACACCGCTGCATTACGAAAAAGGTTGTATCACACTTTCAGCAAGCCACGGTCACCGTACCGCCTACGCTGAATTTGGCTTATGGGTGATACGGACCCTTAACCATTGAAATGGTTGATAAATTAACCGGCGTGTGTGTGTGTTTTACAATGAGCTCGCCAAAAACCAAAGGTTTGTGCGGAATGAATCTCATCGGTGATGACAAGAATAGCTTGCGTTTGTCGTGGACAATTCGCGTTAGTGCACACAAGCTAGTGACTGGTATTCTGTTGACTGAACCACCTATACTCTGTCTCGAGGACGTAGGAGGAAGATGTGTAGGCTTAGAAATCGCGCAAAATATCGATGAACCAAACATGAAAACAAAATTTCAGCGCTATGTGACCTCGCACCAGTGTTTGCGCCATGCTGTCTCTTACCTGCGTGCTCTCCGCTCCAATCCAAAAGTACACATCATAAATTAGTTCGTCGCCCACCTTTTCTGCGTGGAGGACGATGTAGGAATCGCCACTGTAGAAAACCCCGATCTCCTCCGGTTTTAGCGGTTCCAAATTGAATTGCTGTGAAAGGGACAATGGCAAACAAACTCGCTGCAGAAGCAAACGTGAGTAAGACAAGTTGATATTGGAAATATAACTTGTTCCGTTAATCCACAAAACAGCTCCATGATCAATACAACCGAGTGCACTTTGACGGGAAGTTATCCAACAAAACAGAAGTTATGAACGTGTAAACACATACAAAATAATCAGATGAAATGACAAACGCAGAACGTTTGTGGTAAATCACGCAAGCTATTGCTTTACTACCGTCTGAGGAGAGCGCTGTGTGTGCCCACAACAGGCCGTCACGCGCCAGTGATGTATGACCCTTTTTTGTAGAATTCACCTAAAATTAGTATTAAGTGTCTCAACAGCATTGGATATTCATGTGGAATTCGGTCGCTGTTGGTTGCTGCAGTAGGCCAGAGGTCCGTGTTTCAACAGTCGTCTATTAACATACGGCAACAGCCGAAGGCGGCAGAATTCTACACGAATATCCATTGCCGTAATGGCACGTGCAGCATATCTGTAACAGGTTAGGGTAACTCATGAGCGTTTGAATTTAGAATACTAAGTTTGGTTCGAAATGCACGTTACTTTAAAGTAAAAATGGATCATATTGAGCGGAGCAACCGCGACTGCATCTGCCGCACGTCCAGTGCGGCTTCGGTGTTTGGCTAACACACTTCTCACAGCCGAACGGCCTCGATTCCCTTGGACTGCCGTGCGATCGAAGTATGGCAGTACGGCTGTGGTGTTTGGCTAACACTCACTTCGCACAGCCGAACTGCCTCGGTTCCCTTGGTCTGTCCTGCGATCGTAGACACACAGGTCACCTTACTGTGTCCCATCCCACCGCTGCCGGCACGTTAGACAAAGCAACTTACGTCACTGGACAGTTGGCCATACGGCGTGCCGGAGTACGTCAGCACGTGACAGCAGTCGCACTTAGTTTCGGACGTAATTACCAAAACACCCAGTAACCTGATCCTCGCAACAATCTCAAGGACATCAGGTTATCAAGATCTGTGCTACCATTGACAAACTCATCGCGGTTATGTTATACCTCTCATGTCGCAGGTGAATATTTCTCCTTAACAATAGGAACACTGAGAAATAAACGTAAAAGTAAATTGTAAAAGCTATTAGACAACGGCATGAAGTGTACAGATAAAATCGAAAACTGGTTTATTCTGCTAATGTGATCAACAAGTAACGAACAGAACTACTGAAGCTTATTTTAGGCATTCCGTATTACAGTTCCGGTGTGGACATTTGTTCGCTAGGCGTCATCTTGTTTACTCTGGTTTTGGGTCACCTACCTTTTGACGCTCGGGTTCTTCGAGAACTGCGCATGAAGATCATTGGCTTGAATTATACGATACCGCGAGGGGTTGTTTCCCTCTAATGTGAAGCAATGTTGAGGAAAATGCTGGTCTTGGACCAGAAAGATTGTTCATCTCTGAAGGTCAGCATGAGTGATATTCATCTTTTCTGCCCTGTTGTTTTTATGGTACGACGAAATAGAGTCCGCGGGGTCATTTGACTCACTACTCTGGTCACTTGTTGCACCCTGATCATTATATTATATATTATTCAACACTTGACTAATGTACAATTGGTAGTGCCGCAACACATGGTTAACAATAACAAAAAGGAGGAAATCGGTAGTCAGTGAAAGGATATGGAAAGTTTAGAAGGCTGTGTTGTGCGGGCAGAGATCTTCCTGGTTACCCAGGCCGAGGAGAGGGTTGACTTAAGGGACCCCACCCCGAGCCTTTGGTCTTAAGACTTAACCCGCAAGGCAGCGGGACGATTAACGAAGTCTGTTGACATCCAGGTGGCTCTTTCGCCTTCTTTGTGTTCGGTAACAGTCCACAGAGAAGCCTGTGGCCAACAAGGTTGTTCATCCGCTCTCCGTTATATACTCACCTCTGGTTACAGCAGTGAGAGGTCAGTACCCTGTAGGCGGTCACATTGGCTTTGACATAGCGCTGTACGAACTCTTGTGGTATTTGATGGAGAACTCGGTGACCAGCCCAGAACTCCACGTTCTGGGACGCTGCCGTTGATTGTCCCCGACTGCTTATTCATCTCGCCTACAAGGCAAATGAGACTTATTCGCAGTTACCTCCACAAAAAAGGCATTTCCCAATCCGCAACCTGGGGACGCGCCCAACGGGGTACAGCTCCGCCACGGTCATTAGTCCACTGCTGGCTTTGTACCGGTTTTGGTTGCGTTACTTTGTCTTATCACTTGTGTCGTCGTATCTCCAATATTTTCTCTGTCAGTTTGCCTCCGTCTTGTTTGACAATCTGCTCGTCCTGCTACCAATGTTCCCTCGGGCCTACTAACTCCATCATTATGTCCTTTTGTCCTGCTCCTTGTCATTGTTTGTTAGGTTTTTTTTATGAAATCTGCCGTTCACTGTTCAGCCATAGCCCGTGCACCAAAACGCGTTGGATCACTTCACCCACATTTTTGCATCCCTAATGATTAAAGATATGGGAACAAGCGAGAGCGGTTAATTGCAAATGATAAACTCGAAGAGTACCACAGTCCTCGCTTACAAAAGTTAGCTATCATAGGGCTTCGAAAGCAAGTGATTTTATGGCAAGAACTAAAGGCTACGGGGGGAGTTTTCCACATGCCTCTATCTGTACCACAGATTGTGATCCGATATATATATATATATATATATATATATATATATATATATATATATATATATATATATCAGTGCCCCATGCTGAGGCTGATGTTGCATTCTTGATGCTTCTTCACCGCAGTTGGGCTAAACAAACTTACACTTAAACTAGGTCTTTTTAAGCTGGATAAATTTCATTCCACTTTATTTAGTTAGTTCTGCCTACCTGAATAATGTTCTATTAACTGGCCACGTTGCTTACGCTAATTGCGCTTACCTTCGATAATTTTGTTGTGTTTGTTGCATTTTTAAGTAACTTGTGGACATCTCTTATTTATCACGGATTTGTTGTTAACCAACTTACTTCATATGGTAATTTAGGGAACAGTTTTGCCACCGTATCTGTATGCATTATTGGATTTATTTTATTTCAGCTTGCCGTTTAAAGTGAATGGCTGTTGCTTGATATCCCAGGTGTGGCTGCGCTTGATGTGAATGTTGACAAGGTGCCTACCTGTCTTTTACCCACTACCTCGTTCCTACTGGCTCCAGGAGACAGTTGGTCGTTGCTGGAGGGGACGGGGTGTACGGTTCTTGTGGCCGTGCTAGGATCAAAGAGTGGTTCCATGCACTCAGTGTGGAGCGGACTACGGTCCAGCCACCGCCTTGTGTGCACTTGATTAAACATATAGAGCGTGCTTGTTTTTGCTTCTAAAGGAGTGTGGGCCGACTCCGTTACCGAAACGTGGCTCCCATCCGCATGCCTCCCGGTCTTATTCCTTCGGGTTTACAATGGATATGGGTTATATGGTTGGAGCAGTCGGTGGTACAAAGCAAGCCACCCATGGTCTTTCTGTAGGCGCAGGCGTCCTGTGACTGGCTACAGTGACAGGCAAATCCGAAACCAGATGCCGCCAACCCTATATATATATATATATATATATATATATATATATATATATATATATATATATATATATATATATATATATATATATATATAAGCTGAGAAAGCTTATGGGGAGAATATTTCTGTACTATGAATCGCTGAGTGCTGATACGCCCCCTAAGGGCCCCGGCGTGCGTTGTAGGTGGAGCGATTTTCAAAACCCAAATGAAGACAAGCACCCTAAATGCTATGAGATTGCTTCAAACTGCAAGAAATGTAGAAGGTTTCTCGCATTATTCAATTTGGTTTAATGCTACTCCCCCAAGTGCCCAACCCCAAATATTCTGCGACGCTATTGTGTGCTAACGGCCTGCAGTAAATGAATCAGTTTCCCTTATTCCCGTGCGCCTTCTGCAAAGCAAATTCAAAGCGTCAAGAATTAGCCATTTATAAAATGGCGTCTAACAACAGAAAAGCTATGGATATCAGTTTCTCAGATAACTATGACTGAGGCTGAGTTATACTTTAAATCACTCGCCGTACCGTGGTTTAGCTGCAGACATCCCGTTGTGAAGCAGTCCATCCATTTTGAAGACCCAATGAGCCAATCTTCCCTCAGGTCGATTATATCAACTCACGAATCGCGCTTGTTCATGTCTTGCGATTCGGACACCCAGTTCGCTTTTGAAAAGCCACTAACAGGTGGCGAAGTGGTTTGGGCATCCGGTTTGAATTCCAACGTAGATGCGGGCAACAGCTCGGTATACAGACACGTTTGCAACTGCTGTGCTTGTGTGGTCACGAAGAGTCGACACGACTCACCGATGAAGGGCTGAGATCGTTTCACCCAGAAAAGTGAGCAGCTTCGCTGAATGCTTGGCTGATTAGTAACAACCACTTGTTATGCATTGTCTAAGCTATTTAATGGGAGTCATTTCCGAAGAGTCGAATAATACAGCTCGTAAGAAATAACAACAGGAGGATAAGAAGAAAGGTCGATATAGAAAAAACGAAACTTTGGATTCCCTCATGTCGTGAACTGGCTATCCTAGCAGTCGAAACCACCAACCATTAATATGGTTGTCACATGTTGATGGCAAGGGAATAACTTACTTTTATCCGCCACACCATTGTCGTTGTGGAGTCAATTTGTCTAACCGGTGCCCACGCTGGTTCAGATTCTGCAGACTCCTCTGTGTAAAGAAACGGCATACGTGGAAAATAGGACATAATCAGAGGCAAGTATACCAACGTTTACAGATGAGTCATCAGTAGATGAAAATTTCGCAACAAGTCACAGACTGAAGGAAACTAAGAGAGAACTAGTCCCGTAGTTTGATTCCGATAAAAGTGAACAATCCGGGCGACAATTGGCGAGTGCCTTCGGATGGCTTCATTGGGTTTAAAGTACACAAATGACACAGGCTCCCCGGCCGAGTGTTCCAGGCTGGATATTCGGCGTACGGAAGGCAGACAGTGACCGATACCGTCGCGGAGTAGAGTACTAGCAGAAAGGAACATCAGTGTTATTCCCACTTAAGAGGACGTTGGTTATGAGCAAAGTGAAACTTCAGAAATCAAGTTGTTCAGGTGGGGACGACAGCAATTTTGGTAAACGGAATATGAGGAGATAAAAACTCTACAGAAAGTTTTCATAGTTCTGCTATTTTGGCAAGTCCATTAGGTATACTCATTTGAAAGCGAAAAATGCTGGAAAATTAGGACATCAACTGATCGTGCTAACGAAAATTCCTTTGGTTCCAATGGAAGGACAGCACTGATCATGATAAGGGAAGCCAAGCGACTTGAATGATAATAGATATCGAACGCAGCTATAGCGGTGCCGCAGCTGATCATCCCCTAGCTGTTGTGAGCCATTTGTGTGGTATGGACCATAACATGGCAAGCCGAATACTTGTAGGATGCCCAAACGGTAAGGAACCAGCTAGATTAAGGATGATGTTATATGGAACGCCAAACCAGATTCGAATGCGTACCCCGGATGCGCCAGTGTTCAAACATCACCAGCAGGGTAAAACGATCACAGCAATTAGTGTAAGGTGAGAAAAATACCAGGAGTCCTTTGTTGTGCAGTCGATCCGCCGAGGAGAGGTTGGAAGCATAGTGAGTATGCAGTGCGAGAAGTGTCGATGTAAACACGCAAACATAGCGCTGCACCGTATGATAGCTGAAAGATGCGTTGAGAGCACAATATGTGCTTATGGTATAATATTTAACTGGAAACCTCCATGTGTTCTTTACAACGTCCGCAGATGGCTAGCGCATTCGGGCCTCACGTCACATGGTTGGCGGCATCCGGTTTCGGATTTGCCTGTCACTGTGGCAAGCCACAGGACGCCTGCGCCTACAGAGGGACCATGGATGGCTTGCGCTGCACCACCCACAGCTCCAACCACACACCCCATATCCAGTGTAAACCCGAAGGAATAAGACCGGGAGGCATGTGGATGGGAACCACGTTTCATCAACGGAGCCGGCCCACACTCCTTCACAGGCAAACACAAGCACGCTGTATTTGGGGAATCAACCGCACACAAGGCGGTGGCTGGACCGTAGTCCGCTCCATACTGAGTGCATGGAACCACTCTTCGAGCCTAACACGGCCACAAGAACCGTGCACCCCGTCCCCTCCAGCAACGACCAACTGTCTCCTGGAGCCAGTATGGACGAGGTAGTGGGTAATAGACAGGTAGGCACCTTGTCAACATGCACATCAAGCGCAGCCACACCAAGGATATCAAACAACAGCCAATCACTTGAGAGAGAGAGAAAGAAAAAGAGAAAAACTGGATTAATACATAAGGAAACGGTGACATAAACCTTAATTAAATAGCATACGTAATAAGTTGTTTACAAACACATCCCAGCTAAGTGCACGAAGTCAGGAAGTATAGTTCACGGTATGCCACGAACACAAAGATGTTATGGAAATCGAATACAATTGGCTGAAGCTATGTGTGCAAGTTAATGGAATAGAGTACATGGAGATATTCATATGAGAATGGAAAGCATTAGGCACAAACTGTAAACCCACCACCTGAAATAGAGAGACTTAGCATGCATGCACGCGGTTAGTAAATCGAAATCAGCGTGCCTACAAACGCTGCGCCGGCTCGTCGTAATTCTCTGCAGGACCCGTCGTCACTTCTGTAGTGGCCCCAAATGGCACAGCGCATTGCCCACTAGACATACAGCCGAACATTCCTACATTCGCAATGAGTCTATGGTTGTTTATTGATAGTGTCGATACTAAGCCATTGAGTCACATCGGAAAGGCTGGATGTGTTCCACTTTCGTTAAGTATACCCATGCAGAGATTAGAAGCATAACACTTGCGAAGACAACTCTTTCCGGCAATTCACTTCGGGCAAGTACAATTACAAGACAGATAAAGGTGACAGCGTTCGCTTACCTGTCACGTTTATCTGTCTTGTAATTGTATTTGCCTCAAGTGAATTGCCGAAGAGTTTTCTTCGCAAGTGTTATGCTTCTAATTTGCAAATTTCACTTGCAAGAGAAAATAACAAGAAGGCTTTATAAGAATGATTCTTCCTAATAAATCCTCATCTAGTGCATTTATAAGAGAAGAATTAGTCAAAGTAGATGTCCACTTGAAATCGAACAGTGCATCACCCAATTTAGAAGTCAAATCAATATCCTGAGCTAACTGTAGTGATGTGTTATAACACAAAAAGTATAAATAAATGCAGCAACTAGCATAGTTGGGTCAAAACAAATTCAGATGGGAAGTAAACAGTTACATAAGACCAGTTGTTTTTCGAAGTGGAAGCAAGTGCAGTATGCATACGTTGGGCTTCTATTAGCGGATGACTACGGCTTCAACAGAGCGCAATGAAGTTTGTAGGAAGTCTCGCAGAAAGGCTCCGGAATTGTGTAAATGACTTTAAACCAGGTTTCTAAATATGTGTGATCTTAATTATGTAAGTGCGACAAGCTAGAGTTGTTGGATGACTCCATGTTACCACTGGTATACTGTAGCGAGACAAACTAGAATAGCGGCTGAGATAACGGCCTCGTAATTCAATCCACGTATCGTGTAACGCAGGCGCATCATAAATTATAAGTTGTTCCCAGAAACTAATCTTTAACTGCCTTACTGAACTCCGGAAAGTACTAGCGATGCCTCCTAAGGCATTAACAGAACTTTTTGAAAGCCATATATATATATATATATATATATATATATATGCTGGCAATGGAAGTTCGGCGTTACTTGCGATATATATATCGTTCCTCTTTGTTACTTACACTTTCATTTGTTAAATTTATAGGTGGCGCGACGAAGCTGACGTAAGTAACACCGATCTTCCATTACCAGCAACTCGTTTCTGGTAGTGTATAGCCTCATTGTGTGGTGTGACAACAGTGGGATAAAAATGTGGTGAACCGTTTCGGAGCTCGACTTACTCTTGACTGATTTTTCGATATCTGAACCAAAGAGGGCCAGATTAGTATCTTTCCATGAGTATTCCGACATCCTGAGATCTGAGTGATGTACTGAAGCGTTCCATGTCTCTGCTGCGGAAGTACTCTGTATTGAGCAGCCACTCGTCAGTCGCTGTTAGCTGATTGGTCACTTGGACGCGCAGTTTGCCAGTCGGCCTTGGTGCAGCCAATCAATCAACAGTATCAATCCAATGGATGTCGGTCCTTTTCTGTAATCCAACGGAATACAGTTGACTACTGACTCAAAATCAATGTCGCATGGATTGCCGAGGCGTGGCTCCTCGTTGTCGCCACACGACACTATAGATGCAGCGCCTGTTGAAACTTGCTGTATGTGCGCCCATCTATAACTCCGTAATCAGTGGTAGTTTAAAGGCGGGATGTCCCAGCAAGTATGTTATCCGTGGGTTAGCAAGACGACCTAAAGGTTACCCAGGGGAATTCCAACTATTTTCCCTTTTATTAAGGTGGAAACGTAGACATCACCTCACACAATGTGAAGGTCACACATTTGCTCACTTTGTGTGCTTACGCACACAGACACTTCCACTTACTGAGGTTCCACAAGGCTTACCAAGTATACAGACCGGGTGAAACAGATATAACAACAGCGAATTGAGGGATTACGTTTCCTGTTAAATAAATGGAACCTGAACTCACAGAACCTATGCAATTGGTTGTCGCTGATGTCAGATTTGTTGTACGCACGAAACCTACTCCCTCAAAATACTCCTCACTTAGGGTGTGACCCAGATACAAATCCAAACAAGTATCATGGCATCCAACAGTGTTGTGCACGCATCAGTCCAGGCAAGCAGTTGCCTAAGTACCACTTAAGTGTACCTACATATGGAAACAATTAATGCAGATTGGGAGACCAATTTAGAGTACACGTTGTGTGATTGGATTGCAACGCACAATCTCAAGGTAGACTGTGATTCACATGAAGTGAACCTTACTCAATGCTATCACTTGGGCTTCGGCTACGGTCCCAATGATCGCAGTGACCAAGGTTCACATCAAAGCGAATCGCGGTCTACACTGAGATTGCGCGTCGCAATCCAACGTGTACACCAAACTGTCCTCCAATCAGCTATTAACCGTTGTTCCAAACGATGCCTGTCGTGAACCGGTAGCCAAAGGAATAGAGGTTTCGGCTACTATTCCAATGGTCGATGGTTCGGGGCCTGCTATATCCACCTGATGCGATCAAATGAGATCGAAGCGCGTCCTGGTGTGTAGTGTTCTCGGACGGGCAAGACCCAATTAAAGCAGATAATAATCATGGTTCAACAAAGCAAACAGTTGACGAGTCCCATAGGATGAATGGGTTGATAATTCAGAAAGAATTGGAATCAATAAAACAATGCAAGTTTTGTTGAACTCACTAACAGGAGTAACTAAGCCCATCAGCTGTTCGCCTCGTGCTAACGTCCAGGTAAAAGACGCTGCGTCGTATAATATAGATGTATGAGTGCAATGTTACAACACTTTCGGAATATCAGCGGTGTAGGGGAATAGCAAATATAAATAGAGATGACGTTCCAATTTTGGAACCCACGAGGGGACAAGGAATTCCGGTGACATACTAACTAGCTATACCGCATGACCAGCTTTCCCTGATGTCTCCTCCATTTGATATTGTTCCAGTTTCAGGAAGTGACAAAAAATGTGGCCGAGATTTCTTAGGATCGGAGGTGTCAATATCAGCTTGCCAAGCAGATGCGTACACAGTCAGCTGTAGCCCTGTAGGGCACAGCTGATAAGAGATACGTAGAGGACCAGTTTACAATCTCGCTTGCACTCCTCTGTGGACCTTCGAGTGCGGACAATTCATGCTTTTGCCAGAGATATAGTGTGAATGGCGTATTCTAGAGGTGGCGTACTACTGGCGCGGAGAGTCTGGAAGATGAAGCTGTTAAAGCACTTGGATGTCCTCTGTGATAAACAAAGTCGTTGGTCGGTATCCCTCGATACTTTCTCAGCCTAGTGTGACCAGCCAGGCTTGTCATGAGCAAGAACTTCTACGTCGCATGTAAAAGACGTGTCTGAATAAATAACTCCCCCAGTCTGTACACACAAACGCATTGACAGAGTATGCTGCCCTGAACTGAAGTATGATATGTGTTATGCCCTCATTAGCCCTGTCAAGGCGCCCTGCAGCGCTACGTTGCCGCCCGTAGTTTTGAGATTCGGTCATGTGTTGACATCATTAGTGTGACGTAAGAGATCTGACATGAGTACTCTTACGAGCTGGTATGAACAAGTCGAGGATGGACATGGGAATTAAGAGAAGCATACTAGTGGATGTGAAAATCTCCTATCCGACGGTCGGGAAGCCTGTCGAATAGGGCATTTACCAAAATGGATTTTCTGGTCAACGCACTCTGTCCCTCGAATTGCTGTTGTTTGACAAATTGATTAATAAGGGCAACCTGTTAGTCACAGTGATCAGTGACCCTAGCCAGCATGGTCAAATGTTCATATCGTGATTAGTTGATAAATATCGGAAAAGTTGCCGCAATCATTCTGTTCACTATCAAACAATGGAACAATGGTTGGAACAACGGTTTACTGCGGGTAAAAAATGCATTGCTTAACAAGTCCCGTAGGATGGAAATTATTGCGAAAATCAATTGCATGATAAAGTGAAAAGCGTTGTGGTTGACTCACCACAGACTTATGCGGAATAGCGGAGATGTTCGCGTATTAACCGTATAAATCCACAAATTCATGGTTAGGCGTTTGGCAAGACACCGTTTGATTGCGTTTTGTAGCCCCTGGCTAACAAGTCATAAAATGAAATGTAAGTGAGAAAATGCATCGTCAACACGTTTTTTAAATATCGCCAAATTGGGAGCAGAGACGACATAATTAGGGAGGGCGTTCCAAGGCTGACACACGCGAAGGGAAAAGAAATTTTTACAGCATTCAAGCCGCTATACTGAATTGTCAGTTTCAGAGGATGACCTCTTAGTTTAATGTTGTTGTTCAATTCCAGCAGCAGACGGCAGACGTGGTTTGGATTCTACAGAATTTGGTAAACCATTATGAGATGCCCCCGCAAAAGCCGATATCAACTGCTGTAGATTCTTAGAGATTTCAGTCTAAGCTGATAGGGCAGATGGAAAAGGCCCCTGACGTTCTTGGTTGCCCTTCGTTGAGGAGTCTCGAGAGCAACAAGATCCTGTTTCTGCCACGGCTACCACGCCTGAATAGCATATTCCACGTGAGGTCGCACGTATGTGTTAAGCATTTGTGGAAAGATTGAGGGTTCAAACCGACCGAAGGCTCTGCGAAGAAGGCCGAAGTGTTGATTGCCGGTTCTCGTAGCCTTCTCTGCTTGTTTTGAACACCCGAGATCTTCCTGTACCAATACATCCAGCTCACGCTTCTGAGAGACCTTCTCCAAGGTGTGGTCTCCAAGCTTGTAAGCGCTTACCAGCTGGTGACGCAGATGCATCACCTTGCACTTAGCTATGTTCAATTGAAGCATGTTCCTCTTTGACCATTCGTAAATGCAATCTAAGTCATGTTGGAGCAGATCCTGATCTGGCTTGTTACTAATCGCCCGCCATATCTTGAAGTCATCGGCGAAAAGCAGGAAATTTGAGGAGATAACTGATGCCAGGTCGTTGATAAACACTAGAAATAAGCGCGGTCCCATCACTGAGACTTGTGGAACACCACATTCCACCTCAATTGGGTTAGAAAGTGATCCCCTAACACGTACTTGAAGCTTCCGTTGGTGAAGGAAGCTGCCAATCCAACCAAGTACAGGATCTCCGATTCCGTATCTCTGTAGCCATTGAAGTAGGATGCGGTGATTAAGGCGGTCGAAAGCTTTGGAGAAGTCCAGATAGATGACGTCGACTCCAACCCCATCATCGGCCACTTCCGTCCAACTACCTCGTGCAATCAGTAGGTTGGTGGTGCATGACCGATGTTGACGGAAGTTGTGCTGCTCCGGTACCAAGATGTTGAATTTTTCCAGGTAGTCCATTAAAGCCTCAGCGACGACTGCTTCCATCACCTTCGCGAGCACAGGGACGAGAGTCACTGGACGATAATTTGCAGGATCTGAACAGCTACCGCCTTTAAAAATAGAGGTGATAATGCCACACTTCCGCATAGTGGGGACTTGTTGCTCATCAAAGCACCTTTGGAAAAACTGTGACAGTGGTTCAGCTAGCTTGTTGGCCACAGCCTTCAGTGCATTCGGGCGAATGTTGTCTGCTCCCAGAGAACTATGCTCACGCAGTGAGAGTAACTTCCTTAACACAATTGATGGGTTGAAAACTACATTTGTAAACATTGGTGTCGGTAATGTGCATGACATTACGGGCCAAGCAGAGGTTGCGAGTTCGAAAATTGGAGCGTATTGCAGCCGCAGGGCATTAGCTGCTTCTTCGGCACTTTGTACTCTACCGCCTGTCGTGAAAAGTGGAGGGATTCCATACTTCACTTTACGAAGCTCATTGACATGCCTATATAGCAGGTTGTTGTTTGTCATGAATTTTTTGGCTAGGCACTGTTGATAAGTTACTTTGTCCTCACGGACAAGTGCAGTGCAATGGTTGCGATGGATCAGGAAATTGCCCCAAGTCTCTGAGTCGGAGTTAATCTTGTAAGCACGCCATGCTGCATCTCTTATCGCCAGGCATTTTCGAGTCCCGCTCCTTAGAATTGAAGGCATTTTTGCGGGCCGAAGGGGCTTGGTCTCTGATGCTCTGTTGACGATGTTGCTGAATCTATTAACGAACTCTGCCCAAACGTTGTCAAGGGGACTTTTGTTTGAGAATTCCCAAGCAGCTGCGTCGGCGAGTTCTTTCAATACGTGGTAACGTGTGATTGTATGAGTTAGTTCCGAGTGCTCAGATGGATACTCTGCATAACACACATAGTTAAACGTTATTACTACATGGTCACTGAGACCTAATGGACTATCCATCAATAACTTGTGAACCATGAGCTCTTCATTCGTGAGCACAAGGTCCAATATGGACGGTTTGTTTGCTGTCCTGAATCTAG